ATGAACAAAAAACAGTGCAGTACCAAGCGGATTATATGAACCAACAATACATTGAGTTTATAAAACTAAGATTAATTAAAATCAAAAAGGTCTGTATCGACCTCGATCAAGTTCAGCCGTCGCTCCAGCATTCCTAATATTGTATATAACAGAAATAAGACGTTATTACTTACACTTCTTTTGTTAATAACTTTTTAACTGATACGAGTGATGATTAAAATATCTTAGAGCTCATGATCTCGACAGCATATGTCAAGATCATTAGGGAGATATTCCCCAATCGGGCATATTTACCATCTTATCACATCCAGGAGATCGAAATCTATATTTAAAAAAAACTAGTTTTTACACCTTTTTAGGAAAAAAGTTAGCTCTCTTTCTTTCTCTTAACATTCTTCTTTGTTGGACTATCAAATTAATTATAACAATGTACAACGCTCAAACTAGTTGCTAGAATGTCAAAACTTTTTGCAGCATCTTTCCATATATCAACTCTTGTTCCCATGCGAGCAATAAGAACGTTGGATAGCAATCGTTCTGCAGACGTATATCCGCATTATTAATGCGCCATTGTGGAAATTGCAAAACGTAATATCAAACGAGCGACACGGCGACGCGATAATCCCAGAAGAAATCCGTCCGTAATCGAAGAAGACAATGTGTACGAGGCTTTAAAGGAGTCAACGGGGTTTGAGATACACGTATATATTATGCGGATCCGGAGACCGGAGAGTAGCTCGGATATGTACCTAAGTATATATTGAGTATCGAACGTGCCCTTGAGGGATAGTACACGGTCGAACGAGAGGCGGAGACGAGAACGGAAAGGAGGAAAAGAGAGAAGCGCGGAGATGGAGAAGGAAGGAAAAAGCGATCGAGATTGAATTATGGCTCGCGGCTTAAACGCCGAATTCAAATCGATCCCATATATCACATTACCTGACACCTTTATTCTCCTTTCTGCGGCCGCATCTCGCCCCTGTTCCCTATTGTTTTACTTCTGTCTCTTTGTCTTTCTCTTACTGTTGCTGTCTCGTTCTCCAGTTATTTATCAGATTTATCTCACATGCAATTAGATATGAGTTGCTGCGCCGAGTACAAAATAATATCTTAACCATAAGTAACGTCTGACGTGTTCAGTTTCTACTGCATATAACGAATGATTTTACAGACAATTATATATGTAGTATCTTTTAATAAATCTCAATTTTAATAAATCTGTCAATTTAGTTAGTTAACAAATTTTTTTATTTATTGCATATATTTTTGCACGTGCTTCTTGCAAAATCTTTTTACGTTACGTTTACAGATATCACTATGTTAATAGAAAAATAAAAAGATTCAAAAGTTAAGAACTTTTCAGTAGAGCATTTTTTAAATTCTTTCTGAATATTTTACGTTTTAATTAAATTAGTAAATATGCTTTACTTTCTTTTCATGTTATACTTTCATTATGAATATTCTTCAAAATTGTAAAATGAGTCTAAAATTCGTGAATGCTGCCAACACTGTGGAAGGTATAGTTATACAACTTCATTCCTTACTAGAATTATGCCATTTTTTCATATAAGTAATGTATTGACAAATATGTTTTTCTACAAAAATGTATTAGTCTTTTTATGGTCAATTTCATTTAATAAATTATCTCAAAATTAAAATTAATTGATTTTAATTTTGAGATAATTTATTTAAATAACTAATTTTCTACTTGTGTCACTTCTTTATCAATTTTGTGATATCATGTTCTGCAGATTCAGTTTAAGACTGTTTTAAGAAAAAAGTTACTATTTGTAGCGCAGTTTCCTCGAGAACTAGAAATTGTAAAATTCATACATATGCAAATAATATTAGACACCAAGGCTCGCTTTATGGCCTTCTCTTAATTATGTTAAAAATAATTACGCACAAATATAAAATGTGCTTTATATGTATTATTTACAAATTTAAATATAAAATCGCGAAATTATCCTCTTTCATATCGATTTTTCAGTGTATCGTATGTTAATAAAAAAATTTGATTCGCGACAACGATAAATCAGTCGCTCGTGAAAAGTCTTGCATATCGTGCTGCATTTCTATCGCAAAGTTTCAGAATTGCGAGCAGAAGAAAAATGTAGATACGGGAAACGAATCGTCATCATATATCGAAGCTCGCAGATTCGTACTCATCTCAGTGAACAGAAACAAAAAGTTCGCCGGATAGAAACATTCGATATCTGTCAAACATAAAGCTAGCGCAACAAACGCTTTTTCCGTCAAACGCATAACAGGCAAATTCCAAATTGTCAAGAATAAGTTCTAATTTTAAACATTAAACTGTAGTATATATAATGATACGATAATACTTTTATACATAACGTATAAATTTTGAGATTGCAAGAATAAAGATAAGAAGAGAATCCGCTAATTAAAATCTCTCGTTTTAATGATACATATTTTAATAAACGCAGCTTATCTTTTATACGTAATTTCTCGGAACGCCTGTTGAATTATTCAAGAGTATTACTTTCGTCGCATTCGTCAATTGTAAATCATTACGGCTGCGATAAAAGGAACGACAGTAGCATGCTTTTATTCACGCTTCCATTCGCCGGCAATTATATCTCGGCGTTAATACTTGGAAAGTCGAAATATCAAAAAGGCTCCATAAATTCAACATGATCGCAAGCGCGTGCTTTTGCCAACGAGCGAAGCCTATTTTTCTACGTCGGATACGGAAAAGAAGGATTCGCTATTACGTTGCAGGGACCACCTTTCATCCCTTCCGCGCGATAATTTTCTCGTGTTTACGGTCCGCGAAACATCCTACCATTTTTCCTTGCCACTGGCCACAAAAAGAAGGAAGGTTCATATTACGAGAATGCAGGAGGTCTAGGACAGAAAACTAAAGGGAAAAGCACATATGAGGTAGGAAATATCATTGAGTCTCGCACAATATTCACGCAGTATGCGCTTCTGCATTTGCGTGCATAAACGGGATGCGTGTGTATGAATCGGATCGAATTACGTTAATCAGCCGGCCTCGAGCTTATCGGAAACGATTGATGAAACTTGCCGTGAAACACATTTGATTTACTTCTACGAAATTCTACCTTATTTATAAGCGTGAACCAAAAAGTTACCGCTAATTAATGTCTGTATCAACCAATATAGATTAATTTTAATTTCGGATTAATTTATTCATTATCTTTTTCTAAATTTTAAACAGGCATTTATAGTCGATATCATATAGTCTTATATGTTATTTAAGAGAAATTGTCTTAAGTACGATCTTAAGATGTCCTAAAGTAATCAAAAAATACTAGTATCTTAAGATATTACTTGCGACAGCCTTGAAATATTATAAAAACGGATCGACTATGAGTTTTAGCAAAAAAATTAGAAAAAAATAGTATCGATAGAAAAACAAAAAGTAAAAACTGATTCTGCTTTCCTGACACCGTTAACAACTTTTTAACGTTAAATCTTTGTTCTTATAATTAATTTATTCTGATGTTTGTAATTACTCCGTTTTTTTATGTGCCTCTTGTATTCTTGCCAGCAAGTTTCTTTTTGAAATCATCGCTGACATAGAACCACGATAAAGGATTTTCAATTTACATCTGAGCGGGAATTTATCTGTTATGCTGGAGTGTAAGAGATTCAATTTCTAAACTTTTGTATGTCGCTGAGAATATAGCCCCAAATGTGACCAAAATGTTCAAATTTTGAGAAGCAAGTTAAATATATATATTTATGTTTAATTTTTATTAAAATTGTATGTTGAATGTTGCGCACCAAGTATCGCGTCTCTCATTTGCCCTATTTTTTCTAATATTTTAAAATTTTGAGAGTTCTTATTAAGATTCTTTTTTTTATTTTTAGATAATATTAAAAAAATTGATTCGAGATTAAAGTTATTCTATGAAAGAAATGGTCATAAGTATAAACTGTAATAAACTAGAGATTATTCGATCTTATCACTGAATTTGAAATTTTCTAGCATGAAATGGTAATGTCTATTACATACGTGCGTATTTATTTCGAGGACGTAATCAAAACGTGTCGTGCGACTATTATATCTTAAGTGTGACTATTAAATCTGTGCTGTATTCTATCCGGGAATGCGTTTGAACGAATCTTAAGACCTTATTTTCCTACGTCGCAAGCTGCGTTTATCACACGCCGAAACGACGCAAATCCGTAAATTTTAAGTGCTAATCTAATCACGTGCCTGCTTCGCTTTCATTGAGACGTGTTCTTATTTGATTGCGCGCTCTCTCCACTCAAGGATACTACAATGTTGCATCGCCACGCATACCAGGCTTACACATCGATCGTGTACCATATCCTTCCTTATCTTTATGCTTTCCGCACGATCTTGTAACCCGGACCGGTACTGGAAAAGAGACTTCCTATTCCATTCCATTCTGTGCACTCTGGCGTCCGCTTGGTGAATGCCGGTGTTCGCGCGCGAACGAGTTTTGTTATGGGAAATTGTACAGTTGTCCCCGGTATTGTCGCGCGATAGCGTAAGCGACGTCAAAATGCAGCTTAGTCCACATGAAATGCGACAGACCGGCCAACCGACCGGTATGTGTGTGATGGTTGTATACAACAAATATAACTGTCGCCACTACGCTTAATGCCGTCGCGAATTAAACACGCGTTATCGTACATGCAATTTGTCCAATATAGTTTGCCCATCTGTACGAAATCAGAACAAACAAAGTTCATCATTTAGAATTAAATTAAATATTAAATACTTTCGAAGTCTCTCTCTCTCTCTCTTCTCTCTTTTCTCTCTTCTCTTCTAGCGGCCAGATCTTCAAAAAATAAAACAATTTTTTGTATTTTTATTTCATATGAAAAAATTTTTTAAAGAAATCTTTATTTATATTTGGTTTACCCTCGTATATTCTGCCTCTTAATAAAAAAATCACAAAACAAGTTTGAAAAACAAAATCTTCATCTTTCATTGAAATAAATCGAATTTTTTACAATATTTTACTTCTTTACTGATCGATTTTATTTCATTATATAGATACATTTCACCGATGTTTGTCGATTTCATCACTCACTGATGCTTGTAACAAACATCTTCGTAAGTTTCGCGAAAGTGAGATTGCTTATCTCTTGTAATGTCAAAAATAGATCAAATTCTCGTTCTAGAGTATGCTTCATTTCTACGATCATCAAGGAACCCATTCCAAGTTCAGCTAAAGATGAATTTGGACTTACAGTGTTTATCTTACTTATACCTATAATATAAAATATAAAATTATTATAATCTTATAGTGTATTTTTCGTAAACTGCAACCAAATAAATAATTAAGTAAACAAAAAATACAATAAATAGTTACAAAAAAATAAGTTTGCATAAGAACAATTACCTAAAATATTAGCAACTGTTGCTACCAAACTGTTTCTACCAAATCCGTGACGTTCCACTCTTTTTTCAGCTACAACCATGCTGCTCATAATCGGCCGGCTTTGAAGTAAAAACATATCAAGCTTGTCGAGACAGCAGGATATCTTTTGTCGTGAGGTGCCACCAATAATTATTTTCTTACTAATCTCCTGCATATTTTCGAGAATACCCACGTCATCAATAGCTCCCCACTGAATCGCCAATCCAGGTAATTCTTCCTCCACTCTCTTCTCGCAAATTCTCTCCATAACGGAATTGGCCATACCATAATTAGTCTGTCCAGTGATTCCTCTACCGCAGGAAATGGAAGAAAACATTACAAAATGCCGCAATTTTAGGCAAATTTTTCTAGAAAGTTTATCCAACATCTGCGTTGCTCGAACTTTCGATTGGAAAGGCACTGCAAATGTCTCTGCGGTTTGATTCTTAAGGATATTGTCCTTCAACACAGCACCGAGATTGAATATTGCATCCACCGGTGCTTCTTTTTCCGCAATTCGTAAAAGATATTCGCAATCTTTGAAATCAGCAACATCAATATTCTTGATAATCAGAACATTTATACCATACGACTTCCATAATCGAATTTTTATGCGTTGATAACCATTTTTTATTCCATTTCTTGATATCAAAACGATATTTCTGGCACCACGAAATATAAGCCAATCGGTTAATTCTAAACCAAATCCACCTAGACCTCCTAGTATAACGTAACTTCTATCTCTGTGACAATAATAGCGACGATATGCGAGAATGTGCCTATCTAAGGGTTCATTCTTTTCATGGATATTTATTATTATCTATAAAAATAATAATATTTTAAAAATGTACGCATTAGAGATATGTGAGATAGGTTTGTATAAGACTATTTATATATGAATAAACTTCTTTATTAGTCAGTATAAACATACCTTCCCTATATGCTTTCCACCAGCCATGTATCTAAAAGCTTCTTCGATATTTGTTTTAGGAAAAACTTTTACTTGAAGTGATTTGATTGTCCCATTTTTTAGACCATCGGCTATCATTTTAGACAATAGGGACTTGTACATGTAATTATCAGTGAATATATTCTCCAGTATAACTCCATGAAAACTAATACCTTTCTGAAACGCGGATATACTTAAAGGATTATTAGAAACAAGATCAAATTTGCCAATCTCTAAAAAATGACCATTTTGCGCCAAACACCGAATGGATGCGATTAACTTTTCTTCCGCCAATGAATTTAACACGATGTCGACTCCGCGACCTTTCGTTTGCTGCATTATCATTTGTTCAAAACTAGTATCTCGAGAACTTCCAATACGTCCATCCGAGATGACGGGAAACATTTTCTTAATGAAGTTCCGTTTATCATTCGTGCCTACAGTAGTGAACACCTCGCATCCTTCGTGAAGAGCGAGATGAATAGCTGCTTGTCCAACGCCGCCAGTTCCAGAATGTATAAGTATTTTATTACCTTTTTTCATTTTTCCATAAATATATAAGGCCATGTAAGCCGTACTGTAAACGCATGGGATCGTCGCCGCCTCTTCGAATGTCCATGTTTCGGGTACTTTCCAACACAGATCTTTATCTTTCACAACGACGTTTGCTATACAACTGGAAAAAATCATTTTAATTTAGTTTCAATTTTATGATATTACGCAACGCACTTTTTTTATGGAATATTATTTACTCAGTATCACAAATTCCCATTACACGTTGCCCGTTAGCATCCCATCCTGCATATTCCATTCCAAGAGAAAGATACTGAAATAACCGTCCCTTTAAAATCGCCTCATGAGGTGTTAATTTACCAGTCGCGAACATTACATCTCTAAAGTTCAGGGATGAATAGACAACGTGCACTAAATCCTCGCGACGAGACACAACTGATCGATTATTCTCTATCCAACAGAATGTGCTTAAGTCACCTCGAACCTATAAAAAAATGAAATTTTTTGTTATGACTTACATAGAATAGAATTTTTAATAGAAACTATGTAACAAAATCTAGTATTATTCTACAATGATAGCGATCAATATGTTTTGAAAAAATTTATACGTACCATTTGACAAACATGAGCGGTAGGCACAAGTCTGGCTTCGGGTTCTAATAATTTTAAATATCTGTACGATCCCCAAGTTTTATTAGCTCGCAATACATTAATAGTCATATCTTTATCTAATTGTTGTACATAAAAAGGATCTTTAAGAGAGAATTTAGAGGCTTCCTCATCTTGAACAAGCACACCCCTAACAAATTCACCACCTGGCTCCTTTCTTATACAGTTAATAAAACCTAATAAACCGCATTCAAAATCTCTCTCTCCTACAATAATAATTCTGCTATTCTTATCGAGCTTATTCTCATCGCGCACAAGCGGCTTTAGATTCTCCAGCCAATCAAAGTTATCATTATTTATGTAAACAATAATTCTTTCTTTTACATAAACTTTTTTTTTCAGAAGTACAATCATTTCTTTATCAGTGCGCTTTTCAAGAATAACATTTAATTCATATTGTTGTAAATATTTCTTATAGTCAATTACTTCACATTTTTCACGCGTTAACAAGTAACCACCTTCTCTTAAAAATGATAACAATCGCTTTAACGAAGTATGTTCTTTAGTCAAAAGGTTGAATCCTGCAACTATTAGAGCATTATCAAGCTCATTTTTAAATGATTTCTTCAAATTTTCGATTGAAATGTTTTGCGATAAGTTTGCTGAATTAAAACGATTCGGCGATGTTAGTAAAGTGATATTCGTTTGTATCAATGGAGTATCCTGGAATGTCTTAACCAATAACGTAGATGAGAGACATTCTAATGAAACATCATCGTTATCTTCCACTAACTCGACTGCTGTTACTTTGACAATTTGATGATCTTCCAGTGCAAGTTGCGCCGACATCCAAATTGCTTCGTTCAAAGAAACCTTAGCGCGATCGCAATGAGCTACAAATGTATATTCCTCGATAACAGCATTTTGAGCTAATTTTCGGCGAGTAATTTGAGTGAATTTAAGACCTTGTATTTCTACTCCGCCAGCTATAATCACGTCTATCTCTTTGTATACTTGTACCTGTAATTCTGTAATAAGACATCTAAAATAATACTTTTGAGGCTTTCACGGATATTTTCTTCAGAGGGTTTGCGAGTTATCGCTGTATCATAGCCAATATTTCGTGAACCTTGTCATTCACTTCATCAGAGTGAGAAGCGCACTAGCGCTAAATGTTAGCATTAGCAATGGATTACAACATGACGATAACCCGCAAATCCTTTAGCGCATCTCTGAAAACATCTAAAGTAATATATGATATAGAGATTTTTTTACACTATATTCAAGTTTCAAACAAAATGTCTCTTTGTTAACAAATGAATGAAGTACACTTACGTTTTTCCATTGTTGTTACACCTTCTACATCATGATTTGCGTCCTGTAGCTTTCGATCATGAAGCATGGGATTGATCACTAATTTTTGAATACTCGTAGGAACATACAAATCTCTAGTATCATGTTCTAAGATATTCATTTGTAACATTGAATCTATGAACGTTACCCAGTTCTTTCTCCAAATAATATGTCCTTTTTTGCCCGATATAGATGCACTCTTTAATCCACGAAACCAGCCGCTATATTGGTAACCGCGCAGTTTCAACTCTGTGTAGATATCCCGAACAGTCATAAATTCTTTTTCACTGTTCTCCCATAATAGATCTATCGAAGTCATTTCTAGTTCGGGATTCGATGTTTCGTACACTGTACCTGTCACAACAACTCTATCTTCTTCGGTTATTTCGAATTTCCCATCTATTATATTTTTATATATTAGTTTATTATTACGCATTTTTACGATTATATAATATTACTTTATGTTAACTTATCTTGTTAATACCTTTTTGAATAGCAATTTTCAATTTTACAGCATTTTGTTTTGATAAATGAATAGCGCGAATAAAATTTACATCTTGAAAAACTATCGGTATTATTGTATGCTTTTGTCCTTTCATCATACCAATAGTTTCCCAAACGAGTGCAAGATAACCCGCCGTGGGTAGTAAGTTTCTTTCATCAATTATACAATCACTCATATATTCGTAGTCGTGATCCTCGAGTAAAATTTCAACGTATCTTTCTCTGGATTTTATGGACTTTTGTGTTTCGTAGCATGGTATGAACCAATCTTCGAAATGATTCCATCTAATGAAACGATAAAAATTATAATACAAAAATTAAGTATGTTTTTAGAATTTTCTTGTCTTCAGCCTAAAGCATTAAAAAATTAAAAAGTAAATAAAATATTCATGGTTAAATACAGGACTTATTTCATTAACTTTTCATTATGTATTTACAATGTACGTATATACTTTTTTAAATATAAATTTATTATAAAATAAATATAATTTAAAATATATATATATGTGTATTATACTAATAATTATAATATAATTGTAATTAATATATACACATATACGTAAACACACTCACACACATACATATATATATACATACATGTATACACTATAAGAAATAAATGTTAATTTTAACTTAAAGACGTTTAGTGGATTTCTGAGATATGCAAATGTCATTTTTATGGTAATTATTACATTTTTGCATGTCTTAGAAAGTTTGTTAAACAGTTAAAATTGGTATTTTATTTTTTGCAGTGTATGTATGTATAATTAGTTATTCATATTCTTATATAAACAATATTTAAATTACAATTACAGTAATTTCTTGTACCTGATAAATGGAGAAATCATAGCAGTGCCTCTGCTAACTGGATATTCCACTGGTGGATATAAATTTGCAACCTGCGGTTGTAAGCCACAATTGTAGAGTCTTCCAATTCCTTGAAAAATTACATCTTTGTTTTGTTCAGTGCGTTGAGTTAATACAATGTTTGTCACTTCTGGATGCAAAGATTCTTTTAATATGTGCTGCAGAACACCGCATGGTGCAAGTTCAATAGTAATACCATTATTCGGAATTAGATGTAATGTTTGTTCAAAGAGAACGATATTTAATATACTACGCGTATGATAATCTGCCGATGATAATTTTCCTGAAGTGAGCCATTCGTTACGAGGTACGGATGTGCTGATCCACTTTGAACTTCGTTTCTTAGGCCGCGGAATTATTCTATTTAAATTAAACAAAAGCTCAGTTTCCATTGATGCAAGATAAGAACTGTGATACGGTACGTTGCAATAGATCTCTTTCACGTAAATATTTTGGACCTAAAAATATAAATTTGTCATATGTGCAGCGCGCAAATTATGGTTTAAAAGATTTGATGTTTTGAAAATATTATTTAAAACAGTTTTCATCCATTAATGAAATACGAGAGTTATCTAATTTTACCTGTAATTTTTTTATAAATTCTTGTACTGATTCTATGGGTCCACTCACAACGCTGCTGTTTCCGCTATTGCGGCAATAGATGTTTTACCTTAGCGATTTGACTAAAAGCACTCGCAGGTTCAGCATGACCAAGATTAGATTTTACGGAGCCGATCATTAATGGAACTTCTCTATTTTTACACAAAACATTATGGATAGCGTTTATTTCTTGAAAGTCGCCAACTTTGGTACCGGTACCATGAGCTTCAAGGTAATCCAAACAAGATATTGGTATTCCGCATTCATTGTAAAATTCTGTGAGTAAAGTAATTAACGTATGCATCGACGGACATGTTATGTCTTCGTTTTTGTAACCATCGTTATTTAATTTTATATGCGGACATATGGCATAAATCCTCTTTGCATTTTTCGCCTTTTGAAGGTATATTACTGCTATGGTTTCGCTACGTGAATAACCGTTTCCAGCGGAATCGAAAGGTCTACAACAACCCTCAGGTGATAAAACACCTACACGATACAAAATACAGTACGCAAAGTATATTATACGATTATTGAGTAAGAATTATTTAGAATAGGAAATTCAGTTCCAATGACCTTGACTGATGTTGCTAAGATCATGATCTTGAGTAACTTCCAACAGAGAGAGGTTTTAGCCATCGCTCCGTTACTCATTAAATATAGTTATTAATAAATGAAATTAACAATATATATTAATAAATTGTCCTGAAATGACATTTATTTAATATTTACAGTAAATTTAAAATAAATTTTCTGCTTTAATAACGAAAATTTTCTTTGAAAATATTATTTCTTATATAACCTTCGTTTTTAAAGCAGATAATTTGTTTTTAAAATAGAGAATTTATGATTTTGTAATGATTCTATGCAAAGCGTCGAGTTTCACCCCACTTTTACATAAAGCAAATCTCATCCCACCTAAACCCATGCCAAAGGGCGCATGACTTTCCACGTGAAGGAAGTCTCACCCCACCTCCCCTTTTCCAAGGGTCGTTCGACTTTAACATAAGATAGATATGGGACGGAATATAGAAAATCATGCGCCCCTTGGCAAAAAGGAGGTGAAATAAGACTCACTTCACGAGGAAAGTAGTACGTCCCTTGACAAGAAAGGAGAAGTGAGGCGAGACTCGCTTCAAGTAGAAAGTCGTATGTCCCTTGATAAGGAGGAGGTGGGATGGAACTCCAACTCCATTCGCATAGAAAGTCATGCGCTTCTTGGTAAGGGGAAGGTTAGGTAAGACTCGCTCCACGTGGAAAATTGAACGTTTCTAAGCAAGGGGAGGAATGGTGTAGAATGGTATTTGTACATATAGTAGATATAAAATACATTAATTTTAAAACTTTTTTTATTAATAACTTTTAATGAATAACGAGCGACGATTAAAACTTGTAGGAGGTTACTCAGAATTATGACCTTGACAACATATATCAATGTTAACGTCATCGAAGCTGACTTCTCTATTCTAAATAATTACCATTAGTATATATATATATATCTCAATAGATTAATAAATTTTTAACAAAAATATTGAGATTAATAAATTGTAATATAAAAAAAGAGATACCAAGATAAGTTAATTGTAGACTTATAAATGGATTAAAACATAGATTTGCAGTTCCAATAATTGCATCTTCGCATTTTCCCGAGATAATATAGTGATAACCAAGGGCTATGGCGTAAAGACCAGAACTGCATGCTGTATCGACGGCTTGAGATGGTCCTTTTAAATCCAAGCAATATGAAATCATATTTGCTACTGTAGATTTGCTACATCCGACAATATTCAAACCACCTAACTAAATTGCAGAATATTAACGGTTACAATTTCCACATAAGAATAATAAATTTAGTAATCTTTGTCTACTGTACTTGTACGGAATAAATCACTAACAGTATTAAAGATTATTATTTTTAAAGTTTAGCAAAATACGAAACTTTTTTTATAATTTGCTTGATGTATGTAACATTATATGGTAAAGTTATTTTTTCTAACTGGCACAGCTTTTAAAGATTTCAAGATTATTTTTAGTTTTTTAATTTCAATTGTACGATAAATTTGAAAAAATATTTGTTTCTTCTCGGAACAATATATATAATAATACTTCTATAGATACAGTTCACTTACGCTACAAATGCTTCGTTAATCAATCAGAAGAAAAAATCTTACGAATTGACCAATCGAAGAATGCTTCAAAGCATTTGCAGCGTAAAGTGGATCGCACCCTTTAAAATAGAATGATCAGACGTTCTGTTTTTTTGAATTGCGTCCCGTTGTTCCGACAATTTCCTAACGGAATGCATATACATATATTTAGCACGTATTATTATAACATTACTTAAACAGAATATGTATCTTTTATTGTTTGTTTACTTATCTATTATAGTATATAATAATAATAATTTATATCAATATTATTTGTTATATCGCAATAAATGAAAATATTTGATACAACAATGTAAAAAATCCTCTTAGAAAATTGTTTAATCCTTACTGTCCCTCATAACATATATCGATTAATCTTTAAACATATATTTACTATTTTCTAACCCGCTTTGCTAATGTCTTGTTTTTTCATTTTAAAAATTGGGTCACCTATAATGTATAAGTTCTCACATATACTTAAAATAATGTATACTTATGTAACAGAAATTTCGAATAGTTCAAAAAATACGATAACAAAAAATCTATTTTATTCGATTTTCTCAAAAATTATTTATATGTATATATTAATAATTTCCTTTACTTGATCATTTTCACATAAGAGTTTCTTTTGTGTATCAATAGTAGACATCCCTACGATTACAGCAGTATTTTTTCCTCGTAATTGCTTTGGATTAATTCCTGCATCGATAACTGCTTCATAAGAATGTTCCAGTAACATTCTTGTTTCAGGTATGAGTGCGTGTGCTTGCTCAAAAGACAATCCAAAAAAATCCGCATCAAATTTTTGTATGTTATTGACAGTACCCATACGGAATGACAATTTCTCGGAAAATTTCATATGCTCTAAAGATAGATATATTTACATAAGGATTTTATATTCCTTTTATTTACATTTTTATATAAAATGATTGAAAAATTGAGATTTGCATAGTTGACCAAAAAAAAAAACATATAATATTTATATTTAGTACAAACGATAAATGCGGCATATTTTTACAATTAGTAATCAAGCCTGAATGTATAATGTATAACCATAAGTATGATTTAATTACCTTTTTCCCATCGGTTATGATCTATTACAAGATCAATTTTATTGAATAAATTTTCTCGTAATTGATTCATGTTGTCCGAATTAGGAAATCTGCCAGCGATACCAGAAATAACGATTTCCTCATTGGAAACAATATCGTTCAATATTTCTTTACTATCCATAATTTTTATATACTCGGACAATCTAGAGAAATGCTATACATATACAGGGTGTTCCCGGGTTAAATGGCCAAATTTGAAATACGTATTTAGGACCTCAAAACAAAGAAAAATTTCCTCTGGAAGAATTCTCGCAAACGCTTTGTTCAAGAGATATTGACTTATTAAGTTACTCAACTGTAGGAATATTTTAATGTCGAAATGTCTCTTTTTGCTTTGTTTTGGAAGTCGTAGGTCATTGATAGGCTTATGTTAGCAGAGTTAAGTTACCAAAAAAAGTAACTTGTAACAGTAACGACGTTACAAATAACGCGTTACTTGCCAACCCTGATAATTGATTTTAACTGGGTTTATTTAATAACTCTCAAATCCTTGTAGTGAAAATCTTCACTTTTTAATTTTTGAAACTTATGTTATTGCTATATTGAATCCGCCAGTTCCAATTTAATAATTGCAATTACACAGTAGTTTTTTAATCAGTAGGTATATTTTAATTAATCTATCTATTTAAAAATTCATTATATCGATAAAGCTTTTTAAATGTATGAAAATATTCATTAATACAATGCGGTAATTAATCATTTTATTTCATAATATAAAGAATTATGATCATAAAGTAATAAAATCATTACTTAAATTAGCTATTACATGTATTAATAATAATAAAACTTAGTACATGATTCAATAATATATTATTATAAAATGAATAAAATTTTTCATTAATATTATAACGAATCGATGGCAGATTGTTTCAATGTATATTTTCATGTTACACTAAATTCTAATAATAGTTTAATAACTTATTTATTCTATTTACGTACGTATTTATTCAGTATGCCTCGTTGATTTCGAACAAGTCGGATCGAGTCGCTAGCAAAGAGTTGAGCGCGTTATCAAGTAATGATCTCGTTGTGTATCTAACAAACGTCTAGAAATTTAGTGACGGAACGCGTTAATCCGATTGGACATTTTGCATTTCTCTCTGCATTTTTGTGTCTGAAACACATTATATAACAAACTCTGCATTCGTATGACCCATGCTCTTTTCACAATAAAGAATAAATTTTTATATTTTAACGTCTTTTATCATGTTTGTTGATCCGGAAATGAACAAGGGCGAATGCAAAAGCAGATAGCAACACGAGCTCGACCGTCTTCGTGCATAAAAAGTAGTTATTTTTACTTATATTTTAAACATAAATGAAACTGACAAAGAACGATCACAATTTTCTCTTCTTTGTAAATTTTTGTTTAGGTAAATTTACTCAAACTTAATTTTATTAAGTTCATGTGCGCTTTTTGATATTTTCAGTTATAATTTCGACTACCAATCATGGGAATGGATTACTAAACGTTAGTAAGTAACCACCAAATAAATGCTTACAGTTATTATATGTATATTGAGTCTACAAAAGCCGTATTTTATAAAGGGGGCTAACTTCACAGACGTATGTCTTTTTTTATATTTCTCATTATAACTTTAACTATCAAATGTCAAGAATGAACTACCAAACGACCACCAAACAAATGATAAAGATTATTTTTAAATTTTTAATAATGGGAGAGACCAACTTCACACAATCTTTATGTTACTAAAGTTCTTTTATTTAGGATAATTCCAATATATGTGCCATACAGGAATTTATACCACAGAAATTAGAAAAAATAGAAATGAGAATAATTTTCCCACAACACTACTCTAGCTGTTACACGTCTTTATGTTATATTAATATTGTGTTATATGATTTCACTTTTTTACTGTTACTATTAACACTAAACGTACCACGACCCGGTCAAAAATGACCGATTGTAATTTTTGATTAGAAAATTCGCATAATATGTGATCGTTTTTCATATATGACTTCATGATTTTTTCTATTAAATATATACAATTAATTTTACATCATTTATTTATATTTTTATTTGTTAAATCTGATAAACACGTGTAACCTAGCGTTATTTATCACGACAAGTCATTTCACCGGTTACAGTACAAATAGGTATATATTAAATCTCGGTACGTTTAGTGTTAATGAAATTATTGCAAAATTAATTCGATTTGTTATTGTAATAAGAGTAGCGCCATCATAAATTATATACATACATAAAATAATTACTGTTGAGCGTGTAAAAGACTTAGTGGTTATATATTCCGTGATATATAAGTGTAGAGGAATAATAAAACATGTTGCATTGCAAAATACAAGTATTTTACTCTTGTACACTTTGTTTAGTTTATTATATCTCACCTGTTTAGGACATACTGTATATTTATCAGGAGATATTTATTTCCAAAACATACAAAGCACATAGATTGAATTCAATGCACTAAATGCAATAAACGCATTAAAATACGTACCTTAAGTCATAACACTTGTAATACCTATATGTAGGAAAATTGTAATTATTATCTATTACTTTATATACATATTTATTGTTCTTATTCACATTAATTATAATTTGTAAACACATTTTATAAATTATTATACTATTTTACGTCTTATTTATAAGCATTATTTGTAAATTTTTTATAAGCTGAATATTTTCCCCTCCCCTCTATAAGTAGCCGCACATCCCATCCTTATAGGATATAGCAGAAATACAATGCATGGGTTTAAAAGTTTTTTCTTTAATATGAAAAATAATTATTTCGGATTTCTAATATTTTTTTAGTAGTAATTTATAGTAGTATTGCAGGAAACAAATACATATTTACACTGATAGCAGAGCAGCTATCGAAGCACTTGCAAGAACCTCCACAGAATCATCTGTGGTATGGAACTGTATGCAAGCACTCACAACGCTAGGGGTAACAAACCAGGTAACCCTAGTATGGGTCCCTGGACATCAGGGTATACCTGGAAATGAGAGAGCGGACGAGCTGGCAAAGCTGGGCACCGAAAAGGTCCCGGCTGAACGGATCGTCGGGGTCCCATTTTCAGCAGGAACAAAAACGATCAAAGAGTGGCTTGAACGGGAGCACTCGAACTCCTGGAAGAGGACAGAGAGCTGTAAACGAGCCAAACAACTCATGAAACTTCCAAAACCAGCAAGAACTAGAGAATTGCTGGCAATGGGAAAAGCAAAACTGAGGAGCGGTATAGGCCTCCTGACAGGACACTTGCCCCTCAGAGCACATCTATTCAACCTAGGACTAGCGGAGCAGTAAGAATGCTGGCTATGCAGAGAAGAAGGCGAGGACAACCTGCACTTACTGTGCCGATGCCCTGCACTCGCTTGTAAAAGATACAAATCCTGGGAACATATATTTATGACACCCAAGGATCTAGAAAATGCGAAGGTTAGCAGTTTAATAAGTCTTTAATAAGTAAGTGACACGAGGCTGGGCTCAACTGAATGACCTACGGAACAAGCAGGGAGCGACAATGGAACCTCATGTATCTAGGTCGCGTTAGAAGGCTAGTTAAGCCCACCTGCATTCATTTATTACTACTACTACTTATAGTAGTATTAGACAGTACACAGTTTTTACTGATATATAGTTTATTTACCTTAAATATAGCATATAATGCTTAATAAATTAAGTTTTTGTTAGGTATGACATATATATAACGGAGTTACCTAATATTTGTTCTGAAATCTCGTAAATTAATTAACTTATTATCATTGTGTAAAACATCTACAAAAAATTAAAGACATCTTTTTTTATGACCTCACTATTACTTTCGTTCAGAAGCCAATTATATACCTTTTTACGAATGTAAGGTTTTTTATTACAATTGTCAAAAGAAATGAAATGAGTTTTTTAAATATTGTGCTATATACATATAAACAGGAAAGTTAAAAAAAGAGAACAATAAATATTTAATAATTCTAAAAAAAGACTTATGAATTTATTAATATTTTCAATTGTTGTCTTTTTTAAACTTGAGACCATAAAAAAAATATTTTTAATTCATTTTATTTTACAATTTTAATTTCCACCTTTGCTTTACACATTGTAAGTTATTTTAATGAAATTCGATCAAATGCTGTTTAATTTTTTAAAAAATTTGAATTTATTGATTTTGGATTTACATAGGCGCATAGACGATATAAGATATTTATGCGCCTATGTAAATTTCAATAAATTTATAAGTGCTTTTTTTAATTATAATATTATAATAATATTAAACAACATTATATCGAATTTCATTAATACAATGTATGAAGCAAAAATTTAAATAAAAATTGTAGATAAAATGTCTTGGCAAAACACCAACTTGTTTAAAATTTTTCTGAAAATACATAATTTTGATTATTCTATAATATAAATATATCCACTTTTTACATACATTAACTGTTTTTATATATCATCTGTCATATTATATCATACATTAACATTCACAAAATAATTATAAATCGACAGCTCATTATGTTGAATATAATATGTATATTATATTCAACATAATATAATATGTATATATATATGTATATAATATACGTTATAAATTTCCTTTTTATTAATTGATATTGCAAATAATTTCCGCACTATGAAAACTTATTGATTCTGGATAGTGTTTTTGATTTCTCTACATTTTTTATTTCTCGAAAAAGAGAAGTTTGATTTCTCAAGATTTCTCGAAAAATTTCGTAAAATTGTAAATAATGAAAGAATAACATAATTTAATAATTCTTAATTTTCATTAGTTAATGTTTTTATGACATTGTCATTTTCGTCAGAATTATTATTGCACAGTCATTATCGCCAGAAGATAGTTTAATGATCCCATGAACTTAAGTGTATTTAATTCGGAACACGGTTTTTGAATTCTTGAGAAATAATAATTTCTCAAGAAATGCAAAATTAAAATTTTTTTTCGAAAATTTTTCGAGAGAAAGAATTCTTGAGAAAATCGAAACACTAATTCTAGAACATTGTATTAATGCAACCCGAGCATATCAAGTTTTTTCTTTACTAATTGTAAGTAATTTAATCGATTGTATATATAAGTCACTTTCAATGCGTCTTATATATCTTATTGTTAGAATTAAGAAATTTT